TGTGTATATATATATATATATATATATATATATATATATATGTATAACTGAATCACTTTGCTGTGCAATGGAAATTAACACATTGTAGATCAACTATACTTCAATAAAATAATTTTTTAAAAAAATTGCCTAGCTCCACACATTACAGTTTGGCACCTTGCTTCTCTCACCTCACAACATGTCTTGTCACACTCCCATATCAGTACACATGGGTCTAGCCCATCCTTTCTAATGGCAGTACAGAGTCACACTGAGTGGATGAATCACAATTAACTAGCCAGTCCTCTACAGAGGAACATTTAGGTTATTTTCAGTTTTTTGCTACAATAAACCAGGCTGCAGTGAACATCCTTGCACAAATGTCTTTGTGTGCTTGTATGACTAGAGATCCAAGGGATGAATTCCTGGAAGAGGAACTGTTGGCTCCAAAGGAGCATGCATTTATGTCTTTGGTAAATGTTTCCAAATCACCCTCCAAAAAGCATGTGACAATTTGCAGCTCTACCAGCAATCTGGGAACATTTGTTTTTTCAGGCCCTGCGTAGTCTGGTTCCTGATTGCCCTCTCACACACCCTGCATTTCCAACCACAGTGCCTTTGCCCATGCTATGGCCACAGCCTAATATTCCCTCCCTCCCTTGTCTGCCAGATGAAATCCCACAAGGCCCAGCTCTGATGTCACCTCCTCTGTACAGCCTTCCCTGACTCCCTTGAGCAGTCAGAATCCCCTTCCTCTGGGATCCCACAGCTTTTGGGGCATAATTCTGTCATATACCACCTAAGGACCTATGTGTGCCTGGCACTCTATGGCCATTTTGACAATCCAGACCATAACCACACTAAAAAGGATCATGTCCACCTCCTTCTCCCTCCCTCCTGGTCTTTTATCTGTTCCCAAGCACAGTCCTGCCTCAGGGCCTTTGCACTCGCAGTTCCCTCTCCTCTCAAGCATCCTGGCCTTGGCACCTCTCTGGGGTCTCTGCTCCCATTCACCTTCTCACAAAGGCCTCACCTGACCAGTTGGTCTCAAGTGCCCCTCCTCTAGTAACTCTGGTTCATCTCCATTTCATCATCTTCATGACACTTCTCAGAAGCTGAAATAACCTTGTTTGCTTTAAGTGTTGACGTTTATTTTCTGTCCTGTGACCCATCTCTGCACACACAGAAACTCACCACTGTAAACTTCGAAGAGCAAGGGACCTTGTTTTCCTTTTCCGCTGTCTCCAGCCTCAAACCTGCCTGGCACCTAAGCGCTCAATTATCGTTCATTGAATGAACCACCCGTATTTTACAGAAGAGGAAACTGACATTCAGAAAGGAGAGCTGAGTAGCCCAAGGTCCCACAGTTAATAAAACCACAGCTGAGATCCAAACAGGTCTGAACTCTAAAACCAACTGCACGTCCCTACTCAGCACGCCGCATTTTCTCCCTCACCAGACTAGACTCTTGGCAGCAGGACTTGAGTCTGACGACGCTCCAGGTTCCCCAACCGCGTGTCCCGGGCCCGCCCCGTGAGGCTAGCGGGCTCCGCGGAGATGTCACCCTCCCCGCCCCCTGTCAGTCAGGCCGAGGGGTGGCGCGGCCGCCAGTGGGGGCGCTGAGCTCAGAGCTGCCGCAGCGCCCCAGCCAGAGCAGAAGCGCGCGAGCGAGCAGGGCGCTAGGAGCGAGCGGTGGCTGGCGACGCACCCAAGGCCAGGGCACTACTGCGCCCCGGCTCAGGGCTTGCGCCCCGCCTGCTGCAGACCAAACTGAGCGCCTGGCCACGGCCCGATCCCCCATCGGCCCCGAGCCCACCCCAGCCCATCCTAGCCGAGCCCCTGCATCCGCCTGCCGCTGCTGCAGCCGCAGCCCCAGCCGCCGGCC